ACATGGGTACTTAATAGGCATAGGACTACTGCTTGACTACTAAAATTAATGCTATGTCAGTGTTAACAAACAAGTGTAAATAAGTAAGCAAGAAATACACAAACAAGTAAATAATATTAACTAATTAATAAAAGTTTGCAACAAGGCAGCAATTATGCAGAGAGCGAAACAATCATAATCTTATTTGATACCTCAAGATATCAACTAGAGTACATTGAGTGACAAAACAAAGTTACCTCCTGCAAAGAGTACCTGTGTGACAAAGCAGAGTTAGCTTCAGTGGCTGACTAGCTGTATTTGTTCACAATCTCGCGGCATTTAGAAAGAGTAGTACATTTCTCAATCACTGAGAAACGGGACGTCGGCCTCATAAAATTAAGTCCATCGATGGTCCAGACTTTGTCAATAATGCCTTCTGTGATGTCATTATGAAGATAATGTAGAATGTCACGACGGCATTGTGTCAAGTCCTTCCGAATGTCGAAGTTAGTTTCTTGAGCCTTTAATTCCCGACGCTTACGTAGAAGTTGAACTTTCATGTTATGATGCACAAGTCGAACGATGATCGGCCTGGGTGTACGACCTCTCTTGCCAGTACGGTGGGAACGGCTTATGATGGTCTGAAGACACAGTAATACCAAGTTGATTAGTTGATTTTATTTTTGTTATTAGCCGTGTTTGCCACCATGTGTCAAGGCAACCATTTTTTGTGAAAAATAATAAGGAAATCTTAGAAAAGAGATTTTGTTTTGTTTTGTTTTGTTTCGCTTACCGTCACAGGAATTCCACCCGTCACCTTCGTGTTCATTTAAAATTCTCTCTTTACGTACCTATACTCCTTTTTATTTTATCATTACTTTTGATTATCGTGGAAATTGTTTCATGTACGGAACAGTGGCGAAATGGGGATTCGGAGCTTCAAATAAACGTGTTCAGCCCTCTCTTCCAGACCGCGAGTACCTCAAAAATAATTTTTTCTCGGCCTTAGTCTCTTCTTACCCGGGTGATCCTCTTAGAGGGAAGAATAGGATCGCGCGGTTGTCATGAGTTGACTACCTGATCACGCGATCATTGATCTATTACTAACAATACTTTAAAACTGTGTCTTCAACAATTAGCTTCCAGTGTGGAAAGAAACGGACGCTTATTTGCATTGTCTTCACTGAAGTACGGGAAAGCTAAAATCGGGCAGGTAATAGTCAAACAATGCACCATATTAAATAGTTAGATGGTCTCACTGATTTGCGTTTTTATAACTGGTGAAATAGAAGGTGGTTTTCTCGGACGAAACGACACGTTTTAATTTTATTATTTACTTACAGCCATCAATGCCTTCTTATTGATGTAGTTGTCCAAACACCGGGTCCAAACAGCGACTTATGGGAAAACCATGAAAGATACTGCAGAAACAGAAGCGCCCATACAGAATCGTGTGTTTATTTTAACATATAGATCGTTAGTGTTCATGTTTATGTCAATTTTAAAAACCGTAAACATCCTCTTATAAGTCTACAACACCCCCCCCCCCCCCCCCCCCAACCCCAACCACAACACACAATCTCTACAAACCCACACACACCTTACAAAACAAAAACACACCAGTGATACACATTTGTATCTATT